ACCTTCATATCAGGCTCCCAGGGATAAAGGGAGCGCCACTCATGACTAGCACCCATACCTAACGCTGCCAGTCTCATTTGTCTGAGAAACAAAATGAAGAGACATTTCAAAGCTGTTAAGCCAAGGCCTTCTTAAAAGGAGGGCTCAAACTCAATCAATAAAATGTGATTGCTGATGATTCTGTTTTTGCTTTTACACAAGTGGGAGGGAAGGAAACTAAAGGCTCTGTTCTATCTTGGCCTCACAAACCTGTGCAATGTCAGATTTGTAGGAAAAAAAATATTTACATGACTGCAAGCACGCTATTGCTAGCCTCAGACACTGTGCCAAAATCACTGAATACATTATCTCATCTCATCCATATAACAAATGTGTGGGGTATGTACTATTATCCCCTTTCTATGTGTAAAAAAGCTGAAGGGAAACCATTTGAATTTTCAGATAAGGAAAAGAATGTATGACACATTCTTGGCTTAAGGGGTTGCTTATCATAAGGCATGGGGGGGGGGGCAAACTTGGATAAGTCTCATCGGTTTGATTGACAGTCATGTACCACTCAAATGCTACCTTAATTCTAGCTCTCGACTATATAATCCCCCTAATTTCCACTTTCAAACTCTCTACGACTTACATCCATTTAACACAATTTAGCCTTTCAATTGAAAACATAAAAAAAATATATACTGAATAACAACTTTTTAAAAGAAACCTTGAACCAAAACATAAATGATATACTGGATTTTGACTCAGTCAAAATCCTCTGATTTTGACTGAGAATCCTCCAGGCTGACCCTCTGTGGGCTCTGGTTGCCTTATATATAAAATTACTCTAAGAATAGATGAATTAAAATATGTGCAATATTATGTCATATATGTGAAAGCACCACATAATTATAATTGTCATTGCTGTTATTATAAATAAGCTGATGTATAGGGAAGTGGGATGCATTGTGTAAATTAAATCAGACAGCTGTTTTTGGACCAGGAAATTCTCTCCTGGTGCTGCTAAGCATTCATTCTTGCAGATGTGAACTGCTTTTGTAAGGATGGAATGGTGCTCTTGCTAGCACCGGGAAAATCACCTCTCCCTCTCTCTCTCCCCCTTCTCCCTCTCCCTCTCTCTCCTGCCTTTCCTCCCTCCCTCTCATCTCTTCAGAGATCTTGGCTGCCTTACATTTTCAGTAAAATGAGATCTAAGCCGAATGAGGAGCCCCAAGAACTCCCAGGCATGGTATTCCCTCTCCAGCCTAGCTGAGTTGTCCTTAAGTAGCCAAAATTGACACAATCTCTCACATGGAAAGCACACATGGTACTCCCTCAGCAGCTAGTTAGCTGGGCCTGGCCAAGCAGACCCCCACCCAGTCCCATTTGTGGTCAGCGGTGACTGCATTCTGGACACCACACTAGGCATTTTATAAAGAGTGTTTCGTTCCTTACCATTACCCTGTAGGGTCAACAACCTTGGGAAATAGTAGTATCACAGCTTCATCATAAACCAAATGACTAGTGCAGAGCCATCAAATCTACCAAGAGCAGGTCTCTGTATTTTAAGCGTTCTATCTCCCCAGGTCTAGGGAAAAAGCTCCTTGTATATACTTTTAATTTGGGGGATAGGATGGGGTGAGGGAGGGTAGGCACCTTTGATTAACGAAACACTAAGCTACAAAGCACCAGAGTATTCCTGAAAGCTAGTGCTGCTGACTGAAATTCAGTCAATATGCCTTCTACAGGCCAGATCTACTCCCCAAATTTTCCTTCTGCAAAATGTTTACAGTGCAGACTTTTGCTGGCCTTGCCTAGTCTGGTATTCCTCAGTAATGATGCCAAGCCTAGTACTGCATCAATTAGTGATGCCCTGGTAACTCTGTAAGAATCAGTACCCATTTCCTGGGCAGGACAATTCATCCCAAGAAGGTAGAGAGGTGTTTTGTTTTAATTTTTTAAAACTCTTTTAAGATTTAGTAGGTTTTATAATCAAGGGTTATGTTCCTTTTGGTAAAGCTCAGTCGTGAGTAAATTAAAACTGCAAATCATGGAAACAGAAATGAAAGACCTACTAAATGCTCCTGAGACAGTTACTCAATCTTAGTGCATTGCGTTCCTGCACCTGTTAAAGCTGCCAGATGGGAAAAAATAAACAAAACAAAACAAACAAACAAAAAAAACCCCACAAAAAACAAAGTCCCCCGAACTGTGAGTCATAATTATGTTCCTAATCAGACCTGTGACATACAGGGACATCACTGACTGAGTGAGTCGTTCTGTTTATGGAGGGCGAAAACCACCTGGACCCTGGAAGAAATCGCCTTTTGAAGTTAAGTGTATGGATGTGTAAATAGAGAGTCCATAATGGTGCATCTCTGCCTAAATGTCTTCATAAAGGGCAAATTAGTGCAGATCCTAAGGAGGCATTTGCAACGCTAACCTAGTTTTCTGTGTTTAGCTAATAGCTAGCAATTTCGCTTACACTTTTATCCCCTCATTACTTAGCAATGACGATTACTTAGTAAACACATGTGAAAGGCCTTGTACTCCATCGCACCCCTCCTGGGTTGGAAATAACCTCCTCCTAATGCTTCTATTTATATAACGAAGTTGCTGATACACCAAACCAAGTATAGCTGTGACAGGTATCCCATTGATGGGAGGCTAAGAACAGACCCATTCTCAGCTGGGTCTCCTGCGATGGCCTGACCAAATGCAGGGACTGGAAATAAAGGGTGCTGGGGGTGGAGTGGGGGTGGAGCCTCAACGATGTTAACCCTTTGTAAATCTTAAAGGGACTCAGATGGCGCGTCTCATATGAAAATTATTTATGATGCTGGAGAGAGGTAGGGAAAGGGCATTTCATAACCAGTGAAATATGGAATGAGAGAGAGAGAGAGAGAGAGAGAGAGAGAGAGAGAGAGGGTGAAATAGACATGTAGAAGAGAAAGATGCAAAATGTGGCCTTGTGAGATGCTACCCAGTTCATTCCTGGATATATGACTGATATAAACCTTTACAAGTCACCTAACCTAGGAATTTTCCCTTAGATGTAGGATGGGGAAAAAGAGGTCCCACTAGAGGATTGCAGGGCACTGTTTATTATCTTCAAGGCCCACAGTATATCTAATTTCTTAGTAGGGTGGCCAAGCCCCAAAGGGAATAATTTTGAATAAAAGATTTCCTCTTCCTGTTCTATGAAGAGAACATTGAAACTGAATAACGGTCTTTGGATCTGGGTCCAGTGTAAGGGCAGACAAGGGTTTTTAATATCCAGAATCAGAGGGTGGGGATTGGCTGGACTGAAGGAAGATGCAGGAAGCATGTCCCTGTCCCCCAATGATGCTCAAACGTGCCTGCTCACAGGGGCAGGGTTCCTGCTCTCCTCTTCTGGTGACTTCATGGGAAGTTGGCTGAGTCCCCAATTCTGCAGAGGGAATGCAGGCAGAGGGGAGCACTGCAAATGGGCCTTAACCCGGGCACCTAAATGACAGGTGTGAAAAAAAATGGGGTGGACATTGTCAATGGGAGGAGGCACTAAATTGGGGAACACTGCTGATTTTCTCACGGCTCCCCTCCAAACCTCCAACGCCCTGCACCAACCAAGAAGACATTGCTTGGAAATCAGAATCCCTTCCAACACAGAGACACACAGGTGCAGGCAGGCACTAGCCCTACCTCATTCCCCTGCACTGGCTTGCGATCCGCTGCTAAAACCAAACACTGGCACAAGTAGCCTGAGGTCAGTGAGTCTGAGCCAGCGCACCCCTGCCACTGGGCATTCCAAAGGACCATAATTTAAAGTGGCATTTATGATGCTGGATTGTTTCTGATGGGGTTTGCTTTTATTTTTTTTGGGGGGGGGAGGGAGAGGGGGGAGGCTAGGATGTTTCAGACCATCACCACTGGGCCTGATGGGTTTGGGGAAGGAATGGAGGACCTCCACATCCCTCTGGTCCCTGATGAATATTCTCCACTCCCGCATCTTCCCGCAGTCTCTTGAAAGTGCTCGGATACCCAGGGCAGGGCTCCGCGTCCATTTTGCCAGCCAGAACCACCAAGTTTGGGAACTTTGAAAGCCTGGGGTTGGGGGTGGGGGTTGCTAAGGCTCAGATTTCGGCGCCAGAGTTCTCAGCCAGAAAGCCTTGAAAATCAACACCCATCTGCCTCTCCTTTCTCATCCCCCACCCCTTGTACGTTCCAGAACTCCACACGGATACTACCCCAACGGACACACACACACACACACACACACACACATCCTTGGGTTCAGAAGGTTTTTAATTCGGAAGGCAGCGAACCCGCAGAGCTGAGCAGGTCTCTACCACCACCCTCTCTGCATCCCACCCGGAGAGGCCACCTGAGTGTCTTGCACACGATACGACCCCATACATTCCAAACACGACACACCACCAACCCGCCCGCGACTCCGGCGCGCCCCATACCTGATATGCAGACGATGAAATTGGCTTGAAGAAGAAAAAGCACCTCCCAGACTATTTCCATCCTCTGATTCTCATTCCAAGTGCATCACTCGACGGGAAAACGGGGGGCGGGGGGGAGCCCGACACGGCACACACACATCCACACACTCACACACTTCTGGGCGAGTGCACACTCGCACTCCCACCGGACAGCCGGTCAAGGGACAGTCACCCCCAAGATCAATATCGCTGCTTGACTTGTTCCGGCAAAAATCCCCTCGGGCTCAATGGATGCGCGCCCCAGATGTGCTGACACATGTCCGATGTCTCGCTGCCCCGGAGGTGTCCCCGCTCAAAGGTCTCTGCTCCTGGCCCGAGCGGCGGAAGCAACCCCAGCAGAGGCGGCGGCAGCCACCTGAAGCCACCAGCGCTGGGCTCCGTCTGCAAAAACCAGACCCCGATCCGCCGGGCGCCCCAAGAAGGCAT